AAAAAAAAAAAGCTTGGATCTGTGTTTTTCAGAAATAGAATGTCATTTCAATATTAAGCAACTCTCCTCTACCTCTAAATTTTCAAATTAGTTCAACACTCCCAATATTTCTAGTTTCTTAAGGCACTAAATTTTCATTGAGGTATTCTGTCTTTCTCAGTCATAGCCAAATCACAGAGCTTTCTCTCTTGGTGCTTGTAATTCTGTGATGGCTCCATAATTATAAACAGTGCACTGTAGTTGTTCTGAGACAAAATCGCCCTCTATGATTACAAAACAATGGGTTGAAATGAACTTGTTAGACTTTTTTTTCCTCTTCCATGAAAGTTACTGACATTAGAAAGAAAGAAATTTCTAATTTAGATATAAATTAGAAAGAAATATGGAGAAAGAACTAAAACTCTTGCTGAAAATCAATCTGGAAACATAAAGAGCACTGGCTAATTTTTATTCAAGATTCTATTGTAAGGCTTTATTCTGTTGTTAATGTCTAATTAGAATTTGGTGCTATTGTCTATGCTACCTACATTTATAATATGAAATGATAAATATAAATCTGTAATTTCTTTGAAAAACTTAGTTTAGAACAGAAACTTGTTCCAAAATAATATTTTATTTGTTGATCATGGGTGTGACAGTTTTCACATAGTTAAGGTTATATAATATCTTGGGATAAACTGGTCATTGTATGGGCCATAAAGAATAAAATTGAAAAAAGAAAAAAAAATTGAAAAGTTATAATACATATTATATTATGTATTATTATCATAATGCATATCTATAAACAAAAATTTTGTTTTCTTTCTAGCAGCAAGTGATATAAAACAAACATTTGGTTTACTGACAGGACTAATACATTTAAATTCTTACATGATATTTCACTTTAATTTCCAAGCTGTTATTGATTTCTAAAGGCAAATAAGAACAGAGGATCCCTTTCCTAAAACAATAATCTTAAACTATGCATCTTGGCTTTAAGAGATCATAATAAGGCAATAGATCTTTATAATATCTATATTTTATTCTTATTAACATTAACATTCAGGAAACATAAAGACTAATTAAAATAACAAAAGCTGATAGCTTGAAACTTAGCAGCAGTGAAAGAATTTTTTTCCAAATACCCCCATTTTATGTGTCCTTCCTTTCTCCTTCAACTCTTACAACTCTGGCTCAAAAATCAAAGAAGTATCAAAGGAGTAAATCAGAATCAAAGGAGTAAATCAACCTGTCCCATCAGACATTAAAAAACCTAGGGATAGTAAATGAAAGTTTTGAATTACATAGTTTCACATTAATTTAAATAAAATAGCTCATATTTTTAAAACCTTTGAAAATTAAACTACTAGAAGGTCCTATCTTGAACAACATAACTTTTACTGAGGAACTATTAATGGGTCAAGGGAGAAACAAACTATCAAACTTAACATTTATCGAGTGCCTACTATGTGCTGGGTACCTTAAAGGCCTTCAAATGAATCATTTTCTTTACATCTCACAAATACCTTCGGGAAAAGGCATATGAGCGCTCTTTAACACATGAGCAACTAATGATCAGAGAGGTAAAGTAATTTGTCTGAGGTCACACTGTAAATCAATGGTAAACCTTAGCTCTGAAGTCCAGTTAATTTGACTCAAAGCCCAGTCTCTTCCTATCATCTCACACTGATTTAAAGTAGGATAAATTATCCCTGCTTTCAACTTAAACCTAATTGAGACAATACACCCACAAATGGATTCATGTGTTTGCATACACATACACACACACACACTCTCATATGTCGGCATGTATGCTCTCATTTTTTGTAAAAAGTATAAACAGTAGTGTTAAAGGACTTTAAGTAAAGAAATTTTTTTTTCAGGTTGTCTTGACCTGGGAAAGCTTCCTGGAAGAAAATGTAAGCTGGGCCTTACATAATAAGTATCAATAATTAAAGAGCAGAAGTGCCCTTTTAAGGCAGAGAAAAGAGCATAAACAAAAGGAACTTGATTAGCATGTCTCCTAGGGCAATGTTTAGCTTGATTTGGCTTGATGGAGCTGAAAAAAAAGAACAGTGGCAGTAGCTCAAGGACCACACTGTTTATGTCTGTAAATGTCAGGATGAGTCTGAACTCTGACATAACAGGCTGTTGAAGAAAAGGGATTAAGTAATTAATCTATCTGCATTATTGATCAGATTACAACAGGCAAGAAAGGGAGAAGTTAGGGAACTATTATAATCTTGAGGCATGAAATGACAGGCTCCTGACTGGGGTCATTTACAGTAGAAAGAGAGAGGAAGCAAGTAAGTGAAACAGGTTTTACATGAAAATAGTGAATGAATGGCAAGGCTACGAAGCAGTAGTGAAGCTGCTGAATGGAAGGATAAAAAGGCAACAGAAGGGAAAGGAAGAAAAAAATTTTTAAGCTATGAAAGACAAGATATTTATTTCTAGAAACAGAACACAAAAAATAGGAGATGCAAAGAAGGTTTAGCAGATGAACATTAACAAGGAAATAAATAATAATATTTCAACAGTTTTTTATTGAGCACTCCTAAACACAGGGATTGTGCTACACTTGGGATTTCAAAGCTAAATAAGATAGAGAACATAGTCCCTGAATTCAAGCTGCTTCCACTATACTAAGGAAAGACAGACAAAATAGAAAAATTCAATGTAACAGTAAATTAATCAAAAGTCAAATACCTGATGCAGTAGGGAAGTATAAAACACAACACAAAAAATCCTTCTTAATAATTTATTATAGGTGATAAGATCTCTTGTTTATAACTTTTTATAACAGATGAAAAAAAATGGGCTGTCTTTTCCTGAGTCATTCAATGAATGTTTATTGAGTACCTACTATGTGCTAGGCACTTAGGATTAGAAAACAACATAGATGCCAATTCCTTCCTTTATGTAGTGTAAAGTCCACACTGTGAAAGATAAAGACAAATAGGTGATCATAACACAGTGGTATAATATGGGAAACAGAGTGTTAGGGGAACACAAAGGAGAGAACCTACCTGGAGAAAGTAACTTGAAGTAGCACCTAAGGGATGAGTAGGAGTCACTCACGAATGACTCATGTTGCATATAAGGCCAAAGGGGAATAAGGCAAAGTCTTTAAAGTAGAGGAAATACATTTGCAAAGGTCTGGAGTCTGGAATTGAAAGAGAAGAGAGCAGTGTGTTCAATGAACTTAAGTTCAATATAGTTGGAGCATAAGGTAAGGGAGGGGGAAGTGTCAGAGTGGGGTTTGGGATGGCTAGATTTCAGCAAGGAAGGAAGCCTGGGAGATTGGAAAGGTGCAGATCAGAAACTGCCTCATTTGAATTCTGGACATTTTGGACATTTTGCTGAAAGCAGATTAAGCAAGGAGATGACATTTTTACTTTATAAGATTACCCTAGCTGCATACACTATGGAGCATGGGTTGGAGAGGTACAAGATTAGAGGCAGAAAGTCCAATTAGGAAGGACCAGGACACCTGCAGTTGGAGGCAGGTGGAGAATAATGGCGAGATTTTGGAGAGATTGACAGCCTAGAATCAAGAGGAACAGGTTTGAGAGCTTTGTTTCAGAGCCTAGATTCTGATGTGCTTTTGAGCCATTATGACAGACAGTGTGAGAAGGCTAAAGGCTAGCTCCTCCAAGATCCCTTGTGCTAGCAGTGGCCACATAATATAGTTCTGGCCAGTGGGTCAGACCGGTACCATTCCTTCCTCCTTCCTGCCTTGAATATGAAACCACGAGAGAAAGGCTAAGTGAATTGTTGAAATGACAACCCTTGTAATGATGAGCTACTAACCAGCTGCCCTCTAACTCTGGGGTGCTTTTCATGCAGATACTTAATTTCTTATTTATTGGTTGGTTTTTTATGACATGCAGCTGAAAAAACAACTCATATGCATGCAAATGGATACTTCCAGGACAGTAAGGTGTGTGTGTGTGTACGGCCCTAGAGTAGAGTTGGCTGCAAGACTGCCTTTAGGAATCATCAGCACATAGATAGCACCTAAATTCAAAGAACCCAGGAAGTACAAGAAGTACAGAAGGCCAATGTTAAAGCCCTCAGAAACACCAATATTTAAAAGTCAGGCAGGGAAATAGGAGAAAGAGATTGGGATAAAGTGACCAAAGACGTAGGAAAAATATCAGGAAGCTGGTACAGAAGCCAAGCACAGACAGCACTGTAAAGAGAGGCCAGTGACTAGTAAGATGCAAATATCAAGTTATAAGTATCCTCTCGGAACTCCTCTCTGACACCGCACCCCTTACCCCAGATCTGTTCTGTGCGTCCTGGTAGTTCTCTGCACTTGTCCCATCACAGCATGTCTCGACCGTGTTGTAACCGCCTGTTACTGTGTCCACCTCTCTCTCTCTTTCCCTTGTCCTCTAGCACACGGCTGTAATCTCTGAGAGGGCAGGGATTGTGTCTGTCTTGTTCATATTTGCATCCCCAGTGCTTTAGCGGGCTCTTCAAAGGTTTTGTAAGATCAGGGGTCGGCCACTGTATAGGAAGATCTAAGGAACAGGGGTCCCAGGAAGAAAAACGCTATGTAAATGGGATGAAACACCATGATTACTGGGATGTTAAGTGTTTGCTGCTAAAATACTGTGTGTGAAAGTGGGTAATTGGAAGGGAGATGGTGGTGGGTGGTACCTATGATGATAAAAAGGTTGAAAAGACAGGTGGTAGGAGAGAAGTACAGGTCCAGATTATGAAGCTCCAGCTACCCAGTTCCTAGTTGGCAAGGGCCCCTGGTGTTATGCTTTGTCTGGCAGGTTTCTCCCTCTGAATTGATGGATTTCCTGAGGCCAGAGGTCCTATTATGAGTGCCTGGCACACAGCGGGGGCTCAATAAATGGTTAATGAACACATCTCTCCATACCCCCAGAGCGTATAACAATATTACGATGTCCGGCACTTAGAATGGTGCTCGAAGGCTACTGGGGTCTGGGTGTAAATGGAGCTAGAAGGCGACGGTGTTGCCACAGAAACGCGTCCAGGTAAGGGGAGGGAGTGGGTCTCCAGACTGGTCGCCTAGCCACCTTTTCTGCCCTTATTTTTGCATGCATCCTTCCACCTCTCCCTCAATCTGCTCTGCATGCGCGCCACTAGGAGAACAAAGTAACAGACCTCTCGCTGATGACTCCGGGCAAACCACTCCTACCCCACCTCACATCTGCCCCAGACTGCTTACCAGCCGCCCCGCTTTGAGGCTGCAGGTTCTCAGCACACGCACTGCAGCCATCTTATTCCGGAAATGACACAACCTCCACGGTTGGAAGAGACGCCTCCGTGGAACCACCTATCGGAGTGGAAAACGCACGGACCTGAGCGGCCAATGGAGGGCGAAGGACCGAGCCTCCCACCGCACAGCCAACCAGCGGCGGGGCGGGGCCGGAGCTTCAGCCTAGGAATGCGGAGCCCCGCGGAGAGAAGCGGCACCCGGGCGGGGCGGGGTGAAGCCCAGATTTAATTTCTAGGATGAAGTTAGGCCGGGCACCGCTGTGTGCACCAACGCTCATCTTTTTGGTCCATGTGTTCGGGGAGATAGAGAGTGTGAAGGGAATACACAGGTAAATTATGTTGAATTAGGACATGAGCCACGAATAGGAAAATATCCCCTTCAGCCAGTTTTGCAACCGCCTTGATTACAGTAATGATTACATTTCTGTAGTTTGTATCAAGGCTCTTTATCACCAGCTGAGTCACGAGTCTATACTGGACCACTTCTCAGTGACTGGCATTTCTTACACACATTGAGTGTTCTTGATTATTGTGATTGACTTTTTTTTTTAATGGAAGATGAATAATGTTACCCTCTTGTCTTAAAAAAAAAAACATGCCAACATTATCTTTTCTTCTTGGGGAATGTTGTTATATGCAGTGCCCACAATATACAATGTACTTCACAGACATAACCTTGATTCACTTGCTTCTTGGAGAAATGTCAAATTCGGGCCAACTGGAAAAGGTGAAAGGATCAGAGCTTTAATAGTATATCTTCCTCAGAGCAATTAATAAACCAATTTCTAGAAATGTCCCGAATGACATTTGCCTGCCTGTTTTTGTCTTTTACATGGGAATGAAAATCTGCACAGATGTCTAAAGAATTACAGGGAAAAAAATCTTGAAGATTAGGGACTGTGAAACAAACTCAGGTATTTCACAAATTTACTGTTAAATATTACCCCAAACTCTTTTTTTGCTTTTCAGTATATATTCCACACACATAAACTACTGTAAATATGAAATCTAAATCATTATCTTTATAAGAAAATCTGGGATAGTCAAGGGAACTTTAATTTTTTAGACTTTCTGATTAACAAAATATTTTATAGGCACTGTAATATATTTGATAACCCTATATGCTACGTGCATGTGTTTGTATGAAAAGAAGATGTAGTAGCTCTGTCTTTGAATTATTTTTCCTCCTTAGGGTCCCTATGCCACCTTCTTCCTCTTAGCTTTCCCTTTAATGCTACCTTCTTCCAAGAAAATATCTAGTTTACTTCTTTTCTTTTATTCATTTTACCTCATTGGATTATCATTTCTATATTTAGTATAATGTGCATCCTTATCTTTCCTTTCAAAATCAGGAGGTATTACAAGTTATTCCTTTCACTTGAGCTCAAAAGAACCAAAGAACCCATTTCTTTAACTTCTTAAGTCAATTTTCAGTCTTTCTTCTTTCCTAAAAATAATGTTTAATGATAAAAGTTTCTTTTGAAGTACTGGTTTCATTGCATTCCTTAGAATTTGATATGTAGAACTTTCATTTTTGTTCATCCTTAGCACTTTACACATTTTCTATTAACATTTCTTCTTTTATCCATTAATTATTTAGAAGTGTTTATCAGGTTCCAAACATCAGTATTTGGTGGCTGTTGCCTATTTCGGAATGAATTTCTAACACAATTGCATTTTGGTCAGAGAATGTCACCTGCATGATACAAATTCTTTGTATATTATTTAGACTTGCTTTATGGCTTAGTCATTTTTATAAATGTTTCATGAGTTTTTTAGGAAAATAATGTGTGATCTATAGTACTTGACTGAAGGATATATGTATGGATATATGTATGTAATATTATGTGTGTATATTACAAAATATGTAACAGTGTATATATTAGATAAAGCATATTGTTTTTTTTCAGGTCTTTGCCTTTCCTAAATTTTCCTCTGCTTGATCTACCAATAACTGAGTCATGATAAAATTTCATTATGCTGTAGTGGATTTATCAGTTTCTTCTTCTGTTCTGTCAATTTCTGATTTGTATTTTGAAGATATTTTATAAAATGCATACAAAGTTTTGAATGGCTGTTATTTTCCTGGTGAAGTCAACCTTTTATTATGTTGTAGTGACTTTTTTTGTCATTGATAAAACATCATATTGAAGTCTGAATTGTCATTAATATAGTGATACCAGCTTTATTTTAGTTGATATTTATCTGGAGCATTTTTTCTATCTTCTCATTTTCAAAGCTTCTCATAATTTTCAATGTTTTTGTTTTTTTAAAATATCAATCTCTGGATTCCAATCAGAAAGTTCATTTACTTTTATTATTTATATGTATGAACTTGTTTCTACTTTCTTACCTTAGTGCTTTCTTTTTATCCTGCTTTTTTATGCTGATTAAAGTGTTGTGTTTCTTTTTTTTTAATTAAATTGTATTTTCCCCTTAGTCCATTTTTCCCTTCAGCTGGTTTACACTGTTACTTGAGTCATTACCCTTGAAATTTTAGCTTGCATACTTAAAATCTTAATTTATGTCTTAACTCTTATGCCCAAAGGAAACTTTTGAATTCTTTAACTTTAGTCATCCATGTCTTGACTTACATACTTTTGTTGTCTGGTGTTATTTTATGCAATGTTTGTTTAGATTCACCTATGTTTCTACAGTTTCTTTGTTCATGATTTCTTCTCAAACTCCCTTCTAGGGTAATTATTCTTTCTGAAGTACATCCTTTAGAAAGTGTACACAGATCTTAAATTCAGTTTCTGTGTATTCTGTGTAAAAGTAAAGAAATCATTTTCTTTACTTCACCCTTGTTGTTGAAAATAAAATTTTGCTGGGGACTTAATTCTATGTTGATGGTTATTTTCTGTCAGTTTTCTGAAGGTATGAATCCATTGTCTTTCTTACTTCCACTGTTCTTTTGAAGAACTTGTTGTCAACCTAATTGCCCCTTCTTTGTAGATAACTGAACTCCACCACTTGTTATGTCATCTCCAATTCCTGGGCCTTGGTCCCTCATATAGTAACACCAACCTCACAGCTTTTTTTGAACAGAAAATATATATGAAAGCTTTATACAAATGCTTATTATTATTTACTCTTGCCTGGCTAATCTCTCCATCTTGTTCACTTCCCCTACCACTGGAAGTGGTTGGAATGAGGCAAAAGGAAGAGGCAGGACTTCCTAGCCCAAGTTAGAAATGAAGAAAGCCAAAAATTCCTCTGAGATTAACTTTTCTGTAACAGGGGCTAAGACGTCAGATAAGAGTAGAGCTTTTCTATTCCATCCCCCTGCCACTGCCATGCTTCATATTCTTGAATCTTTTGCCTGGATTATTGCATCATTTCAGGCTATTAGGTCCCTTTAGCAATCCATGTACTGTCAAAGCAATCGTTCTAAAATGCAAATATGATTACTTCCCTGATTAATATCTTAAGGTAAGCCCCAGAGGTTGTGATGTCCCAAATGGGGTTAAACAGTGTACCTGTTACCAGCGTATATATGTATTCTCTGTCACAAAAGTGGTAGAACATTAGGATTAGACCATGGTGTTCACATCAGACCACCTTGGTTCATATGCCAGTCTTCCAGCTAATCCTTGTGTGACCTTGCAGCAAACTGTTTAACATATGCAATTGTAAAACAGAGATAAAAGTAGTAAGTACTTCAATAGGTTATGAATGTATGCAGGGAAAGACACTTAAGTACTCAAAAAATGTTGGCTGTTATTGTTATAGCTTTTTGTATTCTAATTGCTGTCCCCCCTTAACTGTAAGTAAGCATATGCCAATTATTATTATTATTATTATTATTATTATTATTATTATTATTATTATTATGGATGACTCTGAAATTGATTACTTCTCAATATCTCCAATTTCTTCATAGTAGAAACTGCTTTACTCATTTTTGCTTACATAGAAGCTTGCATATCATTTGGTACTCAGTTATTGTAGTAACTGGGCCACAAGCATAATCAAGAAGCTTTTTCCGGCTCTGGTCTGAGGGGACTTATGTTAGCTGCACTGCGCACTGGAGTCAGGAGCTTACGCTCATTCTTGGACAAAGTAGCAGCAAAGTTTTGGCTTTTTGCAGCATTATATTACTGATTCTGCCCTTTCTCAGCCACCCCCAAATAAATCGTATCTCA